AAGACTCGAGAGATGAACTAATCAATTCTCTTTCCGGCTCAGACTGCATTGGTTAAAGCTTATGGGGCTGTCACATGATGAATGAATGACTCAAACCTGAAGACTCGAGAGATGAACTGATCAATTCTCTTTCCGGCTCAGACTGCGTTGGTTAAACTTATGGGGCTGTCATGTGATGAACGAACGACTCGGAAAAACCCGAAGACTCGAGAGATGAACTAATCAATTCTCTTTCCGGCTCAGACTGCATTGGTTAAAGCGTATGGGGCTGTCACGTGATGAATGAACGACTCAAACCCGAAGACTCGAGAGATGAACTAATCAATTCTCTTTCCGGCTCAGACTGCATTGGTTAAGTGTATGGGGCTGTCACGTGATGAACGAACGACTTGGAAAAACCCGAAGACTCGAACCAGGTGAACTACTTGACTAATTCCAGTACAGAACCTATATGATGTTGCGCATGCACGGCTGAATGAATCACTCTCCGAGACGACTCGTTCCTCCCGAGTCACATTAAAGATTCATTCAAAATGAACGAATCGTTCAAGAACGACCCAACACTAGTAAGTGCACATCATAGGGTGCATGGCGGACACTAATGGCACTTTGTGACATTGAGACTAAACACGTTGTGGTCAAACTATGTTTATTCTCAATGCAAGCGAATCTGTATTTAATGCAGTGAAAGTAAAAGTAAATGCTTTTTGGCCACTACTCTATCATTGTTTTTCCCATTTGTCCATGCTGTTAACAGAACAGTCATTAGTGTACAATCCTCAGACATCCTATTGATTTCCGCCCAGAATACAGAACTTTGCACACCCATAGTTCATCTCTCGAGGGAACGTATTTTGAGCTGGGGGGGGCTGAGAAATAAAACTGGGGGGGGGGGGAACTGTGCGACGAAGACTCGATAGATGAACTAATCAATTCTCTTTCCAGGTCAGACTGCGTTGGTTAAAGTTGGGTAAAGAGAAGACTGACACTATATGATGGCGGATGCAAAGCGCAACTTTTGTTAATAAAACTTTCATTTATTCGTTTAATAACCTATAAGTGAGTGTCTTTGTTGCTGGTTTTCATTAAAAAAATAACAATGAACCACAAACTAAGCATTCGTTTTAAATAAGGGAAAATACTTAATTATTTGGGTTACAACGGCTATATCCAACTTATTCATTTTGTCAATGCAAGGTAGATTTTAATATATGCGAATTTGCCATTGTACTATTTTATGGCTGATGTGTTTTATTTAATAAGATAATAAACCACAAACTACGAACGTTTTAAGGTAGCCTGAGGGGAAATCCATAGGCTATTTATTTGTGTTACAACCCGGGTACATCAGTCTTATTCAGTGGTGTAGCAAGTCAGCCCCGGGCCCATATGCAAAAAATGTGTATGGCCCCCCCAAATGTTATGGGCTCCAACTCGGTTAACTTAACTTAGGCCCTATTGTTGATTTTTCGGAAGTAAATAAAGTTACGTGAATCGTGACTATTCACAAGCTGTTTTATTTAGGGTAGGCTATAGGCTAATGCTTGGAAATGTTGCTTAAAGTTTTCAAGTCCATTCATTATTTGTAGCACGCAAGCCACCCAATAATCGCAGCTTTGCGCTTTGTTACTACAAAGTCTCAGCCTTCTGTCAATTTTAAGATAAAATACAAACAACAAACGTCTTTTTTACGCTCTTTAATTTGTAGTGAGAATTCGCCTCAGTTCAAGCTCCATTTGAATCAATTATATGTTCTTCTTTAATATTTGCAGCACAAAATAAACATGAATATGTGAATGTATGTTGAAAAATCAGAACAACTTAATACAAACGAATGTCTCATGAATCCTCAATCAGAGTGTTAAAAAAATTCAAAAGAATGACGGATGCCACAGACTTTTTTTTTTTTTTTGAGGAGTATGGGTGGAATTTTAAGATTATATAACATGATTTTATTATCTTAATTTTGACTTTATTCTTAAAATATTATGGCATTAGTTTAATTTATTTAGTTATTTTTTAAACATGGCACAAAAATGCTGCCGTATAGGCTACTGAATGCAAACAAAATGTTGGCACATCAGCCCAAAAAACAAACAAACAAACAAATTACAATAAAATATATATTTTTTTTTTTAAAGTCAAAAATAGTGAGGGGATATTTGAATTATTTGTTAATTTGTTAATATCTTATTTGTTCTTATCTGTTCATAAAAGTTTTATGTTTAATATAAGCTACTTTGTCATTGTAGCATTGTTGATGTTGTGTGTGTGTTTTTCATTAAGAGTAATATTGAATCAACCTTAAGAATGAATTTTATTTCAAGAATAGGAAAGACCTAACGTTAAAGATCAAAATAAGCACTAAAGATGTGAGAATGCAAGATTTGTTGCTGCTGAGGTAGACGCCCTCGCTCTTTCTCTGCTCTCTGTAGAAATTGTTGTTAATTCTTAATTTGGGAATGGCAGAGACATGATACAGGTTATAATATAATCCAAAAATCATGGCAACAAATTATTTTTAAGTCAGTTTAATATGTTTAATCGACTTTCACAGTCAATTTGATTAAACTTAACTCATATGTAGCCGTTGCTTCTTGTCATTGTAGGCTTAGGCTACTTTTTTCAATGAATTTGAATGAATATACTAATTAATAAAATTAATATTATTTATTTTGTATTACATATTGTTCATTCATTTATTTTTAATACCGCACCCCCAGCACCCCCATTTTTTCGTGGGCTACACTCCAGGGGGTGCTGCAGCACCCCCAGCACACCTACTTCCCGCGGTAATGTACACACCAGAGGATTTATTTATTACCCATCACAATTATTTCTTTATAAACAGTAGTTGTTTTGTCAATAGCAGTAAGATTTAATTTAATAAAAAAAAAAAACTGGATGACAATTTTTGTGGTTTGGATTAATCAGCATTTATAAACAGTTTGATACGGGGTGCTATATCAATTTGTAGCAGTAAACAACTTCAGTGACGTGTGAACCTGTGGAAAATGAGAAGCTGCTCTCACAAATTTTTTTTTAAATAAAATTACCCTCACATGAGAAAATACAATTGGCATATAAATGACACCAAACTAGAACCATGTCTGTATGAATTATAGGAAGCAGTGAACCGCTGTTTATTTCCTCCATGAATAACACACTTGGTCTCTCTGAGATCTCTAGAGGCATATGTTGGGTCTATCGGCATCTTATTTTTTCTTATGGGCTATACAGATGTACTGATGTGGGGAATTGCACATGACATTGGATTCTAGTGATACGTGCACTTCCTGGTCCCACTGGGAATAGAGCCAACCCAGCAGCTACTATGAAAAATCACTTCTAGTGGCTCTTCTGAAGTACATATGGAATGTTGACCCATTGATTTCCCTTTTCCTTGATATACGCCCCCAACAGATAATGGAAGAACTGGATTTTGTATTATTCATTTATATACAGATTGTAATTTAATTATTAACAAACAAAAAGTTACCATAAATGTCAAACTATAGGGACTTTCCTGTGCTGGCCATACCGGTTCCACAGCATATGTCTGCATAGTACGACAGAACCTCTGCTGCTGCCTGCAAGATCTGAAATTGCATTTTGCATATTGTGGTTTAAGATGTTACCTAATTTGCATAATTCCTTTTGTAAGTCTGGTGCCAAAACAACATAGGAAGTGTGTGCACATAAATACAAATGTAACAAATGGTACAGTTTGGTTTTGCTCATTTTTTAAGAAAGGTATATGGCAACAGATTGAATTGCCTTTCACTTTAATGCAAAATGAATTGCATGGAGCTAATAGGCAAAAGGAGATGCATGAACCCATTAAAATGTTTAAAATTGCACTTATCTGTCTACGATCTTCTATAATGACCCCCTTCATGTGGCATGCCTATGCATCGCATATGTCGCATATAAACCCCTTTTTATGCATTGGCTAACTGCTCAAGCTATAGATTTTACACCATAACTATATGCAACATAAAGGGTTTCCCCACACATTCATTCTGTATGTGATAACATGAACATATGCTGTTAGTCTTTTTGTTCTCTGCACTATTTAGAGAAACACACCTTGTATTGGTAACGATTGGATTTGTTTCCTTGATGGCTCTTGAAAGGATTTGGGTGGAATTCTTCATCATCTGTAAACCTGGATGTTGCAATAACTGGTCTAATTACTCCAGGCTTTGTCTAAAACAAACAAGAAATATTTCACAAACTCAGTTAAACATCTCCAACACATAGTATATGTCTAGAACTTTGTGCTCTGCCCTCTGCTACTGCTTCAGCAGTAATCAGAAATTCAATATATGAATTAAATTCACGGATATTTTAACATGGAACATCTTTCAGTTGCATGAACCCTGGGATTTCCTCTAAGGCTCTGTTGCAAAATCTAATCTTACATCACCTTTCCTTTTAATTAAACTTTTAATAATTTCTGTACTGAGGAGATTAATTGCTGCAGTTTTGCAAGTGGATTTTTTGCCCAATCTCTCTTGATACAAGACTTCAGCAGCCTCAACAGTTGGAGGTAACAGAGGAGACAGATCTGGACTGCAGGCAGGCCAGTCAAGCACATTCACGCTGTGTCTATGAATCACGCTGTCGAAGCACGTGCAGAATGAGGCCTGGCAGTGTCTCACTCTAATGACCACAGATTTCCCGGGAAAAGGAAAATTTTCATGGCAGCAGATGCCACTGTACAATCCAAATATATGCCTCAATGGTACCTTCACACATATGCAAGTCACCCATCCTGTGGGAACTGACAGAAGTCTGGATGGTCCCCTTCGTCTTTGGCACAAAGAAATCAATGTCTAATGTCTGTATTTTTTCCCCCAAAACAAGCTGCAACAAGCTGACTCATCTGACCACAGCACGCATTTCCACTGTCCGTCGGATCATCTGAGAGGAGCTCGGGCCTGGAGAACTCGGCAGCATCTCTCCATAGGATTGATGTATGGACTTGCAACTTGAAATGCAACTTGAATCTTTGTTATGCAAGGAGAAATCCTTGCATAACAAAGATTCAAGTTGCATTTCTTGATGCAGTGGCAGACTGTTAAGTGACAATGATTTTCCGAAGTACTCCTGAGCACATATGGCTATATTTAACACCGTAGCATGATGGTTTCTCTGGCAATTATCTGAGGGTTCATAGGTTACACACATTCAGCAGAGGTTTCCTGCCTTTCCCTGTACTGACTGAGATTTCTCCAGATTCCCTGAATCTTTTCACAATATTATGATAGATCCTTAACAATCTTGCACCGAGAAATGTTATTTTTGAATGATTTGACAATTATCTTGTTAAGTGGTACAAAGTGGCACAAAGTGATGAGCCACAACTGTCACACCCCAGGACTGTTTGTTGTGTTTTCATCCCCCATGTGCTCTGTGTGACCCAGTTTTTACGTCTATGTCTGATTGTCATTTGGTTCAGGTGTGTCTTGTTAATTATCCTCATTTACCAACCTATTTAAGTTGTGTTCAGTCTGCTGTTTGCTGTCCGGTCTGCTATGTCCCTCCCTATGTGTGGGTCTCTCTTGCCTGTTCTGTCCTGGATTTCCTCTTGTGTGGATTTATCAAAGACTAATTGCATTTATCTTAATCTTCTTTGTGTTTATATCACTGTAGCATGACAACAACCCATCTTTGCTTGCGAAGACTGAGTTTTTTTTTGTTTTTTTTTTGCGGACACGCTCGCCTATTACCGGTTTGTCTGCTTATCGCGGAATGTTTCAAAACATTTTAACTTAGATATTCTATAGTCTTTTCACTTTTAGGTTAGGTTGATTAGAGAAAGCATTGGACATCGTTTCTTTGCAGTTTTGTCAAGTGATTAAAGATTAAGCAGAATTAACAAATTACAGATTGCATTTTACAAAATGTCCCAACTTATTTAGAAATGTACGTTACATTCATTTGCACAGTTTAGGGATATGTTGTAGATTTCAAAGCAGCTTTAATTTAAAGCTGTTTTACAGTTGTTGTTTTGTTGTTGTTGTTGTTTTTTTTGCTATCATGCATCGGTCAAGGCTGGAACTGTAATTTGATTTCCTCTTGTGTGGATTTATCAAAGACTAATTGCATTTATCTTAATCTTCTTTGTGTTTATATCACTGTAGCATGACAACAACCCATCTTTGCTTGCGAAGACTGAGTTTTTTTTTGTTTTTTTTTTGCGGACACGCTCACCTATTACCGGTTTGTCTGCTTATCGCGGAATGTTTCAAAACATTTTAACTTAGATATTCTATAGTCTTTTCACTTTTAGGTTAGGTTGATTAGAGAAAGCATTGGACATCGTTTCTTTGTAGTTTTGTCAGGTGATTAAAGATTAAGCAGAATTAACAAATTACAGATTGCATTTTACAAAATGTCCCAACTTATTTAGAAATGTACGTTACATTCATTTGCACAGTTTAGGGATATGTTGTAGATTTCAAAGCAGCTTTAATTTAAAGCTGTTTTACAGTTGTTGTTTTGTTGTTGTTGTTTTTTTTGCTATCATGCATCGGTCAAGGCTGGAACTGTAATTTTTAATTGCTTTTACACAAAATCCATGAACCCTTTTGTCTTTCAGTCACTTGTAAAACCCTGTACTGTATATTTGCAGCACATTTTTAATGCTAACACACTGCTTTGTTAAAAAATGAGTGATGCATTACTGCATTTTCTGAGACAGAATTGTTGCTGGTGTTATGCTATGTTGGTAGTTTGAGCAAGTTTTGGAAGTAAAATTAACTGTTTGGCCAAGATTCATATTTGTAATGCAGACTGTATGGAGAATTTTGAAAAAGTGGCTTCAGTATTGATCAGTGCATTTTAGTGATTGAAAAAGACTTTATGTAAAAATGTACATTATGTTTATATAAATATTTATTTCTGGAAGTGAATATATAATGCAAAAGGCAGAAACCTACTGATTTATAGTAGTGTTTTGTGTTGAGCACATCAGTGTGTTGTTGGCTGGTGAACAGAGCTCTTCGTGTGTGTGTGTCTGTCTGTGTGCACTTGTTTACGCAATATTGTGGGGACAAAATGTCCTCACAAGAATAGTAAAACCTGAATTTTTTGACATTGTGGGGAACAGTCTGCGGCTCCCACGAGGGAAAAAAATTATTAAAAATGGTAAATGATTTTTATCTGAAAGTGTAACAATGCAAACAGGTTTTCTGTAAGGGGTTGAGTTAGGGGATAGAAAATATAAATTTGGTCAGTATAAAAGTAATAGAAGTCTATGGAAAGTCCCCACAATTCACAGAAACGTGTGTGTGTGTGTGTGACATTTTGGTGCGAAAAACATTTTAGAAAGGGATTAAAGAGTTTTGAATGCAGTGTTTGATTTTGTTAGAGATTTGCAGAGCTTTGCATTTTGTGTTTGTGTTAGTGTTTTGAGGCAATGGGCCAAAGATTCAGCAAACGCATGTAAAAACAATTGGGGGGGGGGAACTGTAATTAGATGTAACTATTTTATGAATATTTTTGAGTACTGAATTAATTTTATTTATAACAAACATCTCCTGGTTCATACTGCATCTTGATTTTTTTCTTTCACTTTTTCAATGAAGAATACATGCAGGTATCGGATAGCACAGCATAATTGTGCTGCATTTATTCTGTCTAGATCAGCCTTTATGTCAGAAGTGCATGATGCTTTCAAATGCTACCTACTCGGGCAGCTCTTTAGGAACAGAGCCAACAATGGTCTTCCCCAATTCTTTTACAAAATCATTACTCCATATCTACTGAATGGTGTAATGTAGCAATAACTGTGGTTTCTTTTCAATGCAAAATAAATATGAAGCTCAAATTCATTTACATCAATATCAACTGCTTACCAGTGTTTTTTCCGTAGTTACAGAGGGTTGAAAAGGAGAGCTTGCCTAGGGAGGGAAAATTATAAAATTGTGAATATTAAACATTATTTTACATTTGACATGCTATTGATATGCTGTCTGGACATAGTTTTGAAACAAGTGCTTCCACAATATCTTCTTAATTGTAATTTTATTTGAAGTGATTAATATTATTGATTTTATATCATATTATTCAGCTATGTCTGTAATCTTTTCAGAGTTTGTAATATTCCCTTAAAATCATCATGTTGCCAAAACCTGTGGAACAACAGGAACAAACGAACTCTATAAAATCCTGTCATTTGTGTATGACAAGAAAATTAGCTACAGTTGTCCAGGCGAATTGTCCAAATGAAATTCTGCTCTCAGAATGTAAACATGGGTCTAAAATGCCATTATTATAAAGTGAATACCTCAGGAAAGGTTATGAAACCTACAACCTCACACAAGCCTTATTGCTAGCTTTACTGTAAAAACATAGGAATAATTAAACATGGCTGGAATTTCCTAGCAATAGTAAAAGCACCCAATTTATAGCCGAATTGTAATTGTACACTTCTGTAATTCTAGTGCGGTGGCATATGCTGTAGGCTGGATAATGGAATTGAATCTGAAAGAATACTCTGAAGGCTACAGAAATTTTTGAGTGTTATAGTGAAATTTCTAGACTGGTGGGTTGAAACCCCTAAATGCGTGTGTCTGTTCTGACAGGGTTGTGAACAGCAGGGAAAAAATTTGGCTAATAAAATGCAACCATGTAATTGTGCATAGTACCTACTGCAAAATAAAAAGGAGTGACATCTTGTTGACATCAAAGACTGTGCATCCAATCAGTTTTCTATACTTTTGTCTAAAATCTACGAGTAAAAAATATCAAATCTGGGCTCTAGATTGGCTTGCATGTTCAGATTCACTTGCATATAAAAATAGTTTGACTACTAGAACTGGCTCTGAAAATGGGCTAAAGCAAATGTTAGCTAAATTTCTAGAGCCCTGAGCTGGCATTTCAGCATTAACTGATAACTAATACTCAAGAGAGTTTTTATAATGAATGATTTCTCAGATTTGCCGCCTTCGTATGAAGTCTGAGCATAAAATATGTGCAGAGATCAAAAATGAATGGAAAAACTTACATATCTTGTTTCCCGTCCCAATAGTTTTGGAGATGGTGATGACGTCTGTGACTTCAGTAGTTCAGAATAAAAGAAAAAGAATGAGTTAAGAAAGCGCTCAGCAGCTGAAAAGTGGCACACGTTTCAAAGCAAGCACAGTGCACATAATCAAAATGGCAAGCTGGGTTTGAACAGCAGGGGCTAAAAGGTACCTGACTAAAGACTGATCGGAGTGGAGGACTGAACCCTTCATTTTGCTAACATTGGTCTTCATTGAAAATAATCAGCAAATTGTAGCACAAAAAAAATCTGTATGACATTCTATTACATTGCTTTATTTATTTCTTTTATGTCTTCTTCTGGGTGAGAAAATATATTTTATAGTTCAGTCATTGCAATGCTTTAGTCTGGGTGGAGGCAGTTACACTGTTATACACATAAACAAGAAATATTTTATTCCTAGAAAGCTCTAGAATTTATGTTCTGCCTGAATGTGATGCCATTGTGACTAATCAAAATGAATATGAGGTAATTCCCGGTGTTAATCTTTAATTTCATACCCTTGATGCCTCCGCTGCCAAAGACTTCACATTGGCTTTGTTCACATGGTCTGATTGATGCTGGGAAAAATTGATTAAAACATGAAGATGCAAGTGATTATTATTGTTTAGATGCAGAGTGTGTTTTGGTGACAGCTCACTCTTTGGATCGAGTCCTCAAGGACTTCATCAATGGTTGCGTACAGTTCTGCGGTCTGCTGACGCAGCTGCGCAGGAGAGCACATCTACACAGAGAGAAGAACACTTCACAGTAATGCCTAGTTTGCGATAATCCAGAACATTAAATACTTCACAATTTAATGGTACTTCATCTCATTTCATTACTAAATCTGTTTAATTGGACAGCGATGGGCGAAAATTAAACATTTACATGGTATTTACATGGCCCTACATGGTAGAGCAGACTTAATTTTATATAACATTCGAGTTAAAACCAAAATATACCATAATATAGCAAATTCTCTAGAGATTCTAGCAGTCACTGCACTGTATTCTGTCATATCACCCAGGCATTTTGGGTGTTCGGGTCTCGTTCTACCTCTGCATGTGGGTCCTCCCAAGAATAGTTGTCTGCGGGGTTAAATGAAGCCTCTTTCTTGTTGACCTCTTCATCTAAAGCCTTCAGAAAGGGGACATTTAAGAGTTGTAGATGACACATTAATCTTCTAATGATAGTCCTCCAGACCTTAAGAAGTAGGAGGTAGTATGGGGTTGTTAAAGCAGCTAAATCCCAAAGTTGAGTGCGTTCTCTTCATATACTGATTATCTCACTATATATCTGACCCTGTCCAGTACAGTTTAACCTCTACTATAATGTTTAATGAGGTATGCAATGTGGAAGAGTCATTCTGCTCACTCTGTTAAGATTCCTTTTGACCACTTATGAACAATTTCATTCTGCTGTCCATCAACAGAATAAAAAATCAATGATTTAGTTTCACCCTCCTCCATTAGCATCCAATGACCCTCTTTAACGAATATACAGTTGCATGGAATCCAGAAAAACAGCAGCCATATAATGGCATTATACTGACAGCGAATTATATGCAATTATTAATTGTACACTAATAATAGCTGTCATTTAGAGCAATTAGATAAAGCAGCTCACCTGCTGTTCCAGGAGCAGAGTATTTGTGGGAATAGCAGCGAGTGCCTTGTAGGTGGATTTGATCTTGTATGTCTATATTAGGAAAGAATGATTTAGAAGTCAAAGAAAGTCAAAAGCAGAATTAAACAATCTACAGCTGTGCTATGCCCTAAGGACGGGCACCATGATTCATTTGAAAAACAGTCATATCACAATAAGACTATGATATGACCATTTTTAAGTATATTCGCAGTAAATATTTGCAGTAAATCATGCATATTTTGCCTAAACCAAGATCACAAGCAAACGCAAAACATGCCCTTTGCCAAAGATTTACTGTTCTTGCATGAGTATGATGCATATCATGTTTCCCAGCAATGTGGGAGGCTGTGATTGAGAATGAATGTCACTCATTGAAGGAATGCCAATGCTCAGCAGTAGAGCATGCAAGTTGCATGCAGGTAATGGCGAAAGGGCATGCACTTGTACCTTTCTATTTTTACAGTCCCCATCTGCGCAGTCTGGTGTGCTGCCCCATAGGGACGGAGAGGGTGATGAACAGAAGGAGTATGAGGGTGAGGGGGAGAGCTGACGGCTTGGGACCGCTGGGGAGGGCGAGAGGGTGCAGCGGTCTGGGGTGGAGGAGCGGGAGTTTGGGTGGACTGGGGGACAAGCAGGAGAGGTTGGAGGTGTGTAGGACAGGCGGGTGAGACCCACGGGTCTGGGAGAGGGAGACAGTCTAAAAGCCGGGGATGATAGGTGCACTCTTTCAATATCACTTTTGCCACCAATATTTTGTTTACTCTCCTTGTGACTTAAAACAGGAGATATGGAATTACTATGTGATTCAATTGTGTGTTTCAGAGTAGGAAAGGAAGAAGATTTACATGAATTTAGTGCAGGTTTTGATACAGAGGAGTCTAAATTGTCAGATGAACTACCTCTATCTTTCAGATATGGTGCATTGGCGAGCTCAGATGATTTCTGACCCTGTTTTAGTGCCAGTGAATATTTTTCTGACCTATCATTGGATTTTGTTTCATCGTTCTGCATTAAGGATGCTAAAGGTTTGTTTGGTTCTATAGATGCAAGGCGATCCACTGACACTGATGGATTTTTCTGGTTCTCAGGGCTGAAGCAAGACAGAGAGCTTGATTTAGGAGATGAGGAGTTCATCCGGGATAGGGAGCTGCACAAAAGAGAGCTAGGAACTGTCGGTAAACGATTTCCTTTGTGACCTGATTTCGACAGGTGAGAATTGGTAGGCTGGACTCTAGGTAAGCTTGGTGAAGGGCTGTGTTTTGTAGGTGAGACGATGTGACTAGTACTAGTGAAATGTTGACATGAGTCAAGTCTTTCTGGTGGTTTCATTAGTGGGATTTCATCAGGTGATAACACTGAAAGAGAACTATGGTCTGGTTTCCGTAGTTGCTTCTTTGAAACCTGGCAAGACTCAGTACGGGGTCTATCTATGGAGGTACAAGACTTTGCTTTAGAGACGTTCATGGGTGCAACAGAAGAGGCAGCTGAGCATGCTGAACAGGAGGACACGTTAACTGGACTGATGGGCCAGCATGGTGTGTAAGGTCTTTGAAAAGCAGAGGACAGGACAGGTAGACGACCTTTCCTGAGGATGGCCGTTAACAGGGAGAGCTGGGTTGGAGGGAGTCTGTGCCGTGCACGGGGCGTAAAAGGACAAGGTGAGGTTGCCCGACTGTCACAGCAGGGTGTTTCGCAAGCAGACGACATCTGCAGCAGACTAGAGCCCGGAGCCAAGGAGTGTCTCTTGATTCTTACCACAGAAGGTGTGAAGGCCCCGGATCTTATGGAAGAACATGGGGAAACCGTGCCACTAAAGGGCCCAGGAGAACCATCCCGTGAGAACATGTGGAGCCCTGACCAGCTCCTCTCCTTGTCCCAGTCCTCGGAGAGAATAGACTCCTTAGAAGAAGCAGGGGAAGTGAAAAAATCCATGGAGCTGGCAGGGCTAAGGGCCTCCTCTCTCTGAGCTGAGCTATTTAAAAACAGACCTGAGCTGACCTCAGCAGCCTGTGAAGTGTTGTGAAAGCTTAGCTGAGAAATGCCAGGGTGTTTGTTATCAGTGGTTTCCATGGTGGCTGGGCTAGGCTCGGGGGTTATGCTACCAGATTCTGCGTGAAGCCCAGCTAGCGTGGTGAGTGGTTTAAGGGTTAAATTGTCAGCTGACAGAATCTGAGAAAGAAAGAAAATTAAAGAACCATAAACAGAATTCATTTGAGCAATGATTGCAATGATGTCTGATTATTGCTTACTGCAAATTGTACAAAACATAAAGACCCCATGGGGTTTCTTAATGGGCCTGCTTGATTTTATAGGCGATATTGAAAGGCTATCTACACATTAAAGTTTCCGCTGCATCAGAAGCATTTCCCAGCTTTAAGTGACACTTAGCCATGCAACCAATAATTGTAACTTTTGCTGCAATACACTGTGATGTAGGCACCTGTTGACCAATGCAAATTTCAGACAAGCGGATTCAGTCGTGCTTTTGGAAACCTATTCTTAAATATCAAGGTTATAATTCCAGCACCACTTGGAATGATAATCTTTATGTTTAAGCAACCCAATTTGGCATGCCGTTGGCAGGAGGAGTCTTTAAAATCTGTTTAGAAAAACAGTCATTATCTTTAAGCTTCTGTTAGACATTAGTGGCACAGATTAATTAGACACAAGAAACATTCTTATCCATCAGTTGCTCACTCAGAACTTGATCTACTGTGTAGGCACATTAATGTGTGTTTTTAATTAACAGGGGATAGCAAGTACCTCTGATCAGCACAGAAAACAGCCGTGTGTGACCAGCATATTTAATATAATGATGTATCCCATTAAAAGATATTAAGAAGTCATCCCAAAGCAACTCAAATAATTAAGCTGTACACTACAAACAGTAATTCATCTCTAAATTAGTGTACTTCTTGAAAAGTCATTGCTTCAATAACTTATTTCCTTGTCAGTCATTTTGTCATTACATATTTATAATATGCAATTTTAAAGAAGGTACAGCAGGGATTTAAAGAACAATGTTTCATCAGGATTTTGTGTTTGCCCTGGGACAGAATGTACCAAAACACTCACCTCACTTTGAGTGGTGTTCTTGAGCGTTTCTTCAAGCTGGCCCTCTTCAGGGTCTTGGACGTAAACAACCTCTGCTTTGTAGACACCCTCTTCCGCCATGCTTCTCTCAGTGTCCCCTGGCTCTTGTGAAGTCTGGCATTGGAACAGGAAATGTTACTATGCGATACCAAATCAGAAACGGCAGCCGTCCCAAAGCAGGCCTCTGCTACGGATGGCTATTTCTAGCTCCGGAGCATCTTGACGATATAAGAGAGTTACTGAATGCATTTATATGTGCGTGTGTTTCCCCTTCCAGCTTGTACATCTTTCTTCCAGAAGTCCATGTCCCTCATGTATTGCTCACATACAAGTACACATGACCCACCCTAATTGTGTAAGCCTTCAGCAAATGCCTTTCACATTTTCGCTTTCACACACACACATAGGTCATCCTCTGCTAAGGGACTCTGGGTAGAACTTAAGAACCCGTAATCACTAAAGTCTCCCTCCCTCTAGATTTGTGCAGTATTTGCACCTTAAAGGAATAGTCTGCCCAAATATAAAAATTCTGGTATTACGTACTCACCCTGTTTTTTTGAAACCCAGATGCTGTTACAGTGCCTTGTGAAAGTATTCACACGCCTTCATTTTCTCACATTTTGTTATGTTGCTGCCTTATATTAAACTGCTTTAAATGACTTTTTTTCACATCAATCTACACTACATACACCATAACAATAAGACAAAAAACAGATGTGACAACTATGCACATTTAAAAAGGAAAAAGGAAAAACTGGAATAAGTACATTGCATAATTCATTCATAAGCTCTACATGCAGTTCTTTTAACCTCAGGACTTGGTTTTTGCTCAAATATGCATTTTTAGCTGTTAGAACCTTTATTGAAGGGTGTGTGCCTTTCCAAATCATACCCATTCAATTGAATTTACCACAGGTTAAAGCAATTCAAAGAGTAGTAACATCTACATGTGATATGAATTCTTCTGAGCTAATTTCTATTTATTTATTTTTTGCTTTTTCAATATGGTGTTTGGAGTGCAGACTGATGTGAAAAAAAAGTAATTTATTGGGTAAGAATAATTTAAAAAGACACTATATTTACTTTAGTGGAGGTAAAGATTTTGAGCAAATAATGAAACATTTGGGTCGGTTCTTCGCAGAAAGTTACTGTATGACTTGAGAAGACTTGGAATATAGCACATAAGTGATATGGACTGATTTTATGACACTTCTATAGTGCTATTTGTAAGCTTGTTCACATAGACTGTCATTATATGGCAAGAGCTGCATAAAGATTTCAATACATTCATGTTCCATGGAAAAAAAATAACAGCATATTGGTTTGGAAAAGCACAAAGTAAATAATTAACCTGTTCCCTGGGTAAGATTACTGCTTGTTCTCGTGTCTGTTCCCCGAAAAGGGCAGATGTATCGATACTCAAAACCACGATCAGCAATGCAGCGATTGACTGGTGGCAAGACAGCAACGTAATGACATCATATAATTAAAAGGGTCATATGATTTCAATTTTTCCTTTCTCTTTGGAGTGTTACAAGCTCTTGGCACATAAAGAAGATTTGTAAAGTTGAAAAGACTAAAGTCTCAAATCCAAAGAGATATTCTTTATAAAAGTTAAGAGTCAAACACGCCTACCTAAAATGGATCGTTCTAACATGCCCCCACATGTCTACGTCACGATGTGGGAAGATTTGCATAATGTTCACGCAAAGAAAGAAGGCTTAACTTTTATTCTCGCTGTAGTATTGTTGTGAATGCCTCGTTTATAATGGGTTTTCATGTTTTCGTCTCGTCGCTCCGGCCGGACAGGGCATCACAATATGGTAAGGGATGTAACACTTCTGTCACACGCTTGAGGTATTCGGCCAATCACAACACACTGGATATCTGGCCAATCAGAGCACAACGAAAAAGTTTCTGGACCTTTATAAGGAAACAGCCAAGCGAACAAAACTACATACATGTTATAATAGATAAATGAAATGTGCACTGTTTTTTATTTATTTGTATTTTTTACATGATTCCCAATTATTTATATTCACGATTTCTAGTATTTGTACAGGTTTTACATTTTTATTTCAATGTTGTAATTAGCAATTAATTTAATTTTTATTTTATTTATTAGATTTGTTACGTGACAGCATTAATTAAAGTTTCTTAAGGGTCAAGATCAAGTTATCTGCATCTCCTGCGCTCCATCAAGCCACTCCCATAATAGCTGCCACTCAAATGAATGCAATTCTGTTTACATGAAATAAGTTTCTCCCGAGCAGGTTTAATCTTACAGACCTGTTGCTATGACAGCAACAAATGTGTCGATGACATGTGTCGATGTCAAATGTGAAGATGAGCTTTCGAAGAACCAAATTATCCAAGATCAAGCGAAATCGTCAACAATCAAATCCAGCTAACCGAGTTAGCAACGTACGAAGAACGGGCCCTTGTAGTGTGATGTTTTTTCCTCTCATGCTTTTGGCATACACAATATGGCATACATAACAGGAACCATACTGAGCTGTCTCAAGAGTAGTTCTTACCTTGTTTGGTTTCCTTGCCTGAAGTACCTTTTTCCAAACCTTGTTCTCAACAGGCAGTCTTTTTAGAAGTGGCACAAAGGTGAAAGACTTCAGCTTAGTTGCAAACACAGTGGTGACCTGTAAAATAGACATACTATTAAAGTGATTTCAGTAGACACAGAGGAACAGCATGAAGCAAATGCAAAACAACAAAGAGCCATCAAGCTTCTGTCTGTGCCAATAAATGATAGAATCAAACCGAGTGCTGTGTACAGATGAGCAGAAATGTTTCACCCTCACATTGCCTGATTAGAGATTAGAGTCTTCACTCTGAAACATGAATCAAGAGCTGTGATTACAAAATCTTGCTGCTGGAATTCACGCCAATTAATTTTGCAACCATGCCTTTTCTGGATTTCAGTTTAATATATTTTGTAAACAGAGCGCTCCTGGGGATGAAATCCGTGTCTGTCTTGCTAATAGTGACAACATTTTAAACTTGTTTCCCACCCTAAAAATGATGACATAAGAAAGCTTGACACTTCATTTCCTACAACATTTGAGGAAGTAAAGAATGCTTGCATAGTATATATGTTCTGTGCATCCAAATCCTAAAATGGCAGAATAGAGTATAACTATAAAAGAAATGTTTTACCTTCTGCTGACTTTAGCACTGCCGTTGACATGAAACGGTTTGAGAATGATAATATGTGGTCTCCCAGATTGCTTTCAAGCTGTTGTATAGTCATTGGAATGCGCTAGAAACAGAGGGTCCATTCAGTGTATAAATGTAGGAGTTGGGGACGGCCCTTTCCTGCTCACATTTTAAAATCTGACAATTAACTATTGTTAGCTCTCTTGACAGAGAAGTGTTACGTTTGTGATTATTAGCAGATGTCATACCTACCTGATTTCAGCAGTTCTGAAGGAGTTCTCATGTACTGTATGCTGGATAATTCATACATTGTATTTGTCTGAATAACTAACAAAGATATATGTAAAGTGGCAAACCAGTGTGCTGAATTTTTATGTGATGATTAAGAGGTTAATTTGACCGATAAATAGTCAAAAAGTGGGTAAAATTTATTATACAAACCCAATTCCAAAAAAGTTGGGACACTGTACAAATTGTGAGTAAAAAAGGAATGGAGTAATTTACAAATCTCATAAACTTATATTTTATTCACAATAGAATATAGATAACATATCAAATGTTGAAAGTGAGACATTTTGAAATGTCATGCCAAATATTGGCTCATTTTGGATTTCATGAGAGCTACACATTCCAAAAAAGGTGGGACAGGTAGCAATAAGAGGCCGGAAAAGTTAAATGTACATATAAGGAACAGCTGGAAGACCACAACATAATCCATAAACATCCATTAGTTAGGACAGTTGCTAATTGTTCTGGTGTTCACATGAACTGTACCCCCTCCAGACCACTTTTTCAAACATTAAACCTAACATTCTATAGACTGCCTACAATCCATTCACTGACTGTCTGATGCATATTGCGCACATAACTGCAAATCATTTTCTTGATCTGGCAAGGTTTAATTTGATTGGCTGGCTTTGTATGACTTCTGGGAGTAAGAGCTTTTTTATCAGTCTGCCTAGCAAAAATGTTGTGTTTACATGATAATGGGGCTTACAAGACATAAGTGCTTTTGAGGATGAAATAATCACTTGATTGCCTTGTTCATGGCATTAAATCTTTGAGATTTTCAAGTTTGCAGTGCATATTGTTATTTGTGTTCTTTATTTGATTACGTCATTCACATCGTCTTGGGATTGTGGTCCATTCCTTGATAAAATGTTCAAATCAAAGTGTGTAACATTGTTTTGTTAATCTCAGAGCTGAAAGTGAATTGGAAAAATATTTATAAAGCCTAAAGCACTGAGAAAGTGCATATATGCTCGATTCCAATTCCCTTCAAAACACTGTGAATCTCAATATGCAAGTCGGAGTAACAGTTATTTTTGCCTGTGATTTTGGTACAACAGCCCTGGCCCTTAAGCCATGTTCCAACAACACAGTTATGACACTTTCTTTCTTTGTTCCTTGTTCGGCTGTTCATCAGCCATATCTTCTCCTTTCATTGAAATTCCTGTTAAATTAAAGAGCTTTGGAATTAATTTAAAAAGCTCTGAAGCATTCACATGAGCCCTTGAACACACACACAGCATTATTCCCACGAACTCTCTTGGTCAGATGCTGTATATACAAGGTTATACAGATTATTAAGAGTTATTGCACTACAATTTGATTGGGCACATGACATTCTGATATTTACCATAAACATACTGGGACGTTTCACAGATCACTTTGAGTGAGGAGGGCAAATTGTCATCGCTCCACTCCAACTCTGTTTCCAACAGACCGTCAGTCTATGCATTGCTCAACAAAATCAGACATTGAGCCCATGAGCCATTTTAGACACTGATATACAATAAACAAGTTAAATTTTGCACTGAACATGTTTCTAGCCCTGTTTAATTTGCCCACATTACACTGATGGATTTGATCAAAGAATATAGGCAAATTCCAAAAATGTAACTTATTCATGATTATGCATAATACCTTTCTCAAGCTAATTAAATCAAAGTTTCAATAAATGTGTCATTGAGAACATGTACTTTACTAATTTCATTCCCCACAGGCCTTTCCACACTGTAAAAAATGACCGTGAATTTAACGGTAAAAGACTGTAAAAATGCTACAGTAAAATCCTGTTAAATGGTTAATAGTAAATTCCCCTACTATATACAGTGAATAACTGTATTGGACATTACATGTATTTGACATTAATTTTATGGTAGTATACCATTTTATGGAAGTGAAAAAGACTGTATAATTTACAGTGAATAACCGTAAATTGACATTCCCAGAATTCCCTGCATTACATTTCATATTTGATGTTTTTTTTTGTTGAAATAACTGTTTCTTCTTAGTATTTTCTTATCAGTTTTGTATATTAGAGTTGTGTGTTACACCTAATGTTGTTAAATGAATGTTTATTGCATTATTTCAGTTTCATGTGTGTTACCATGATGGTGTTTAGTGTTTGTGTGAATGACACTGTGCACCTTCTATATATGTTATTATTTAAAAGCTGCTTGTGGTGGACTTTGGTTCATCATGTGACTTTCTCATCACCTCCTGCATTTGGTGGTTATCAGTGTATTACACATGTGTAAAACAGATTTCAGTACTTCAATAGGTTGGTATATTAACATTGTATCAGTTAATGAAATTACGGTATTTAAGTTAAAACCGTAAAATCTAAAACGTTGCTACTGTATTTTTACGGTAAAAATCCGGCAACCACAGCTGCCATTTTTTTACCGTAAATTTTACGGATTTTTTTTTACAGTGCATCACATTTACATATGAAATTGGTAATCAGGTAATATTACCAATAGCTACGTTAGTACACAGCTAACACTAGAAAAATAAACACTGTCAGTGTGTGGGATTGACAACCACATTTACTTACATTTGTGAGTCTCGAAATATTCTGAGTTTGGTTATAGAATGCATAAATAAGCAAACTGTGTGTGAATGTAACTGTATTAAAGGACTCAAATACAGGACTGACAACCATAGTCTGCTGCTGTGTGAACGTGGTCCATCTAAAATACTTAGCCATAATAAACTGTATGGCCTATTTTAATTACAGACCTGCCTCCTAGTAAAACTTATCAAATCAGTATTAATGTATCATATATAGGCTATAATGATCCTTAGACCTTTGAGAAAATTCACTTTCGCTTCCATGTCCGTGATGATAAAAAAAACAACAGAATGAAAAACGTTCTTCCACTTTTAAACTCAAACTATAGTATAAAATGCAACCCAGCACAATTATCCTCCATGTTCATATTCATCGCACCGGCCGTGTCTTTGACACACATATTCAGAGTGTGCAGAGTGACACCCTACTTACACTGCTAATGACGCAACATGACAGACTCCAAAATGCTCCCATCCTAATCATTGCCTATAATGACGCAGAGTGGGGTCCCTTGAGCAATTTTACATGGCTTTTTGATCTTGCAATTCTCCGCTGAGTTTCTGCATAGTTCTCCAATTATAATCAAAGAAGCTGTCACCTACCCCGCTTGTGTAGATGGAATGTTAAAATATAACCTTTGGATATTAAATAAATTGTCATTGCATTTAAAATTACCGTTGTTCAAATAAGAAAAATTAAATTAAATGAAATATTTTCAGAGAGGCAGAAAATAAAATCTGAGGCTTCTCCAAAGCTTGATGTGCTTCTTTTCCATTTGTGTTGCCAGAAGGTCCATTTTTGTCAGACATGTAACTGAATTAATCAATATGTATGTATTAACAATTAATTAACAATTAACAACAACAAAAAAAGAAACATACTATTTTTATGATCCCTCTTATTTTGATAAAATTATTAACATTTTGCAGATTCTGCAAGCTTTAGGTAAACTTATGACCACAACTGTATATTACCTGCCAATGGTCTTACCAATACTTGATTCTGGTTTTAAATTAATTCACTGCCTTTACTGTAGCACATGTATGGTCCTGCTCACACCAAAATAATCAGGAGTACAGAAACTTGCTGCTCGAGCTTGCTATTGTTCATGATTACAAAAGTGATTATTTTTAGTTCTTTATTCATATCTTCTGTCGCGCAGTCAATTGCAAAACACTTTAACTAATTTTTTTTTTAAACCAAGACAAAATAACAAGGTCAAAAATATTCTCCTAATAAAAAAACAGCCATTAATTATCACTTAAAATGCACGGTACATCATATGGTGAGCATACCCAGATAATGGAATTAACTCATAAATTAGCATCTAATATTTGCAATACAATCTGAAGACTTAAAAAGAGCTATGAATGCAAAGTGATGCAGCCGTGTGTTGCCTGGCAGTGCCTCTCGTCAATTTAAAGGCAATAGGCCCGTGTATCTTCATAATGAAGATCACTAATTAGGCTTAGCGGGAGATTTTCAACCCTCCAGTCAGGAATTAGTCAGAGTGGATCAACTAAATAACAGGAATCAACATGATGCAATATAGAAGGTTTGATAATTGTAGGTCATCTCATGCTTGAACAATTAATGATGTTACAAAACAGGACAGCATTTTTA